TTCTGCTTTATAATCTGAACCTTCTAAAAATTGCAAGGCAAACAGACGTTGATAAAAGATGTTAAAAGAGACATGGGGAATCTAAAATTTGCATTCCACGACATGTCTTTTACAACTAAGCAGAAATCCTTAGCGAATTGTGCTTCTTGTACTCACACAGAGTAAATCCGAATAAAATGAAAAAAGGCAGCAAATATTTGATTTCACGCAAACAAATCCTATCTATCTGTTGATACGTATTTCGACCTAATAGGTCTCGTCAGAACAGCTATTCATAGGAGTTCTCAACGTGAAAAATCAATATTTTCTGCCTTTTAAGAAGCAACAATGACATGGCTTCAATACGGACGCGCTAGCGACATCTAATTAGAAAAATCGTAAAATAGTTTCGAAACACAATTCAGATTTCTGCTTTATAATCTGAGCCTTCTAAAAATTGCAAGGCAAACAGACGTTGATAAAAGATGTTAAAAGATGCCTTGCAGCTTCTATACAATTATGAGATATTAGTTTCATTGACCATGTTTCAGAGGTGTTTGGTGAATTTAAGGAAGGTCTTCTTCTTGTGATGCTTATCTGTTCCGGATGTTAATCATTATGACAATTTTTACTTTATTTCCAGCTGCTCGAAACAGACCTACGGTCGCCTTAGATTGTGGAGCCAGAGAACACGTCGTCTTCCGTGGCCGCCCTTACCAAACACCGCTTCACATAACCAACTGAATATCTCTATCTCTTATTATTTCTCACAATATGTCTATCATCATTAACCTGTATGCGTCAACTGCTGGACATAGGTCCCCCTCAGCTCTTTCCATCTGTCTCTGTCTTTTGCGGCTTGCATCCAGTTATTGCTAACAAGCTTGAAGTCGTTAGTTCATCTAGTTGGTGGGCATCCTTTGCTTCGTATTGCTTCTTGTCTTGGTCTCCACTCTAAAATACGTTTGGTCTATCGGTTGTCTGATAATCTAATTTAAATTAGCTTAGTGGGACACGCGTCGAGACAGCGAAAGTAGCTGAAAGACGGGAAGATGGAAAAGTGCGGAACATCATACTGTGCAAGAGCTTGTCTCACTATCCCGCGTGAAACCCTACTGCTGATAAATATTTTTCTTTCTATACTCATTAGATTTTGCTTTATTATGCCTTATTCTTTAATTGCCTTACACTTACAGCCCGTAGACGTTTATCTGCCATTTTCGTTGGTTATGTGGGGTGTGCCTTATTCTGGGTTTCTGAATATACTCATCACATTCCTTAATATACACCAGTCCCTTGTCTAGGTGCCACAGGTGTGGTTTGCTATAATGACCTCCTTTGCCCTGTCATTTATCCATTAATATTCATCTGAATAGTTCATATTTTTTACCTCTCAGAATGTTTACTAGGTATGAGACTTTGCTTTGTTTCATCTAATGACCAAGTTCTCCCACCGTTTGAGCTCGAAGTACTTCTGTCCCTGTGGTTCGGCAAAACAATTCTTAGATATTAGTTTCATTGACCATGTTTCAGAGGTATTTGGTGAATTTAAGGAAGGTCTTTTTCTTGTGATGCTTATCTGTTCCTGATGTTAATCATTGTGACAATTTTTATTTTGTTTCCAGCTGCTCAAAAATGGACCTACGGTCATATTGAATCAATGTCTTAGATTGTAAAGCCAGGGAATACGTCGTCTTGCCTGGCCGATCTTACCAAACAATTCCGCGTCAATAACCAACTGAAAATCTCTATCTCTCATTATTTCTCACAATATGTCCTAACTGCTCTAATTTCCGTTTTTTTATTGTGGTACATTTTTTTCCATTCCCTACTTCTAGGTTCATCCGAGAAGCCTCCGACAGAGTTCAAGCTTCCACTCCGTATAGCACAACCGCAATTATGTAGCATTTAAGTAGTCCATATTTTTTAGTTAGACAGAGGTCTTGACTTTTGAAAATTAATGCATCTTAACGAATGCCGATCAGGTCTTTGCTAACCGTTGTTTTATCTTTATAAACATCTGGAACGAATGTAGTTCTCCCTATTGATATTCGGTATCAGTTCCATTTGCCATTCCAAAAGTAACTTTCTCTCTCAGTTCGTTATCTATTACTAGTTGGATTTACTTTAAATCATATCTGCTTATGATCATCCAATTGGTGTTATGTTAATTTTCAAGCCTTAATATTTACCCATGTGGTTTGTTTTGGTTAAAATATCTTGGAAGTCCTTTATGTTATCCGCAAGTACGACTGCATTATCGGCGATACGTAGGTTATTTATTTGTTTTCCGTTTAGTTTTATGCTTGATTGGAGGTTTGGTGTTTAAAGCATGTTAGAAGAGATAGGTTATATTAAACTACATAGGGAATTTTTTATATGTTGTTTTGTAGTTGAATTAGTATAATTCGCTTGAAGTATGTCATACATTTTTCACAGATTTTTTGTTTCTCTTCAATTAACATACCGACTATATGTCTCAACTGTATGTCATTGTCTATCTTGCCCGAGTGATATAAAGTAGCGCATTTTGTTAACAGATCACGTTTTTATCGCATTACTGAGTTTTCCTGCTGTGTCTATAATGAGGAGATTACTTTCGATTATGGTTCAGAATTAAATTTCCTTAGTTCTGGTTGTTATAGTTAGACCACCAGCGTCGTCTGTTATATAGCAGGGCGCACCTGTCGATTCTGCAAACTACTCGACTATTCCTCCTTCACTACTCGAGCGGGAGAAGTTGGTGGTTGACTGCTTGTGAGGTTGAGTAGAACTGTTATGCTTATGCCTATTAGATTTCCAAAAATATATTTATTGTTTAAAATTTAGAAAAGTAGATTTATGGATAAATACAAATTAGACATAGAAAGAACTTTTTGAACTTTTCATAAACTTGTTTTTAGCTTTATAGCTTTAAACAACCCTAGGTTGTTTAATAACGAAAATTATACAAAAATACAGTACCAGTAAAATAATAATAATTTTATAATGTAGTTTATAAACTATTTTGTTTTTATTGTTTTTAAATATTTAATATACAAATTTAATTACACTATGTCGTGTTTATATTTTTTAATTGTTTTAATAATAAATTTTATTACTTGATACTTGGAAGTATTTTATCGAAAAATTAATGACTAAAATGATAAGTAATAATTTATGGCAGCTAACAAATATAAATCAAATACTGACACAAAATATGTGAATAATGTTGAATTAATATTATTATTAACATCTGTGTTTCCCATAACTAGAATTTATTTTTATAATAATGTTAATTTTATGTTACTGAATTTAAAAATTGTGTCTAATAGTATTGGTGCGATGTGGCGTTTTCATGCAATTTTATGTTTAGCCCAAAAAACTTCTGAACTTCTTCCAATTCCAGTGCGCCATCTATGTATGTACAGTGATTATCGTCTATAACGTTTTACAGGTTAATTTTTATATCTTTAATATTACTATAAAGTTAGAAGTGAATATAACATCTATAAAATAATAAATGCTTCATTTGTTCCTGTATGTATTTTAAGCATATATTATCTATAACTGCAAACTAAGCTTAGACATCCGACTTAGAGTTATTAAACGATACGTTTGGTCAGTGCATCTGTATCGAGTTAAAGCCTGGACATTTAAATTAAATACCATGAGACGGCTAGAAACCTTTGAAATGTGGCTTTATCGAAGAATGCTCAGAATATCATGGACACAACGCATTACGATCAAACACCATAAATAGAGAGTTAAAATTTATAGCAACGATTAAGAAAAGAAAGACCTTGTACCTAGGTCGTATAATGAGAAATGACATATAATCTGCTACGAACAATAATTGAAGGGAATAGGCAGAGGAGGCATGTCATGGCTACGCAATATCAGAGCTTGGACAGGCATGAACGTTCAACAATTACTAAGAATTGCGCAGAATAGAGAACATTTTAATGTAGTGATCGTAAACCTCCAATAATGGAGTGCATCAGAAGATGAAGAATCGTTTAATAAAATTACCAACTCTGTGTAAGGTGAAAACGGATCCTTTTAAATCAGAATTTGGGAAAACTTGGCGAAGTGCTTTATGAATTTTTATTTCAAAATCGACATACAGAACGGCCGGGTCAAAAATTATACGTCTACTCAAACACTACTCTTTTAAGAACTGGAACATACGTACGTAGGAAACGGTTTCCTTGTTGTTGTTTCCTGAGAAGCCAGACATATACGAGAGCCCGTGAACAGTAGACAGTTGACAAAAATACTGTGAGCGTTATTTGAAGATCCCTTTCACTCAAAATTGTATTTAAACTGCACAAAAATTTGATTTATTAATTGTTTCACAAGTAAACACCACGAAATTGGCGGTCGAATCGTTCTTTAACAAGAAGTGCTCTCCTTCATTTGTCGTTATTTCAATTTTTCAATTGTATTTAGCACTCATAGACTTCCTTCACACTTGTTAATAATTTCGGTAAGACGTTTTTCCGACTGTAGTACATGCAGTACCTTATCAGATATACATCATTCACAGTAAGGGTTTTAATATCAGAACAGTTCACTTTTTTGTGAAGAAATTTCATGGGCTTCTCACAATTATCTTCAACGGCCTTTTCTTCAATGAATTGTTGAGTTTTTGGCCGTTTAGCTTTTCCAGGCTGCTGCCCTCATGGTTGTGCTCACCACCAAAGTCGAGCTCTATGTACGGTGTGGAAGTTTCCGTTTTCACATACGACTTACATCCTCGGTTTGCACACTGCCTTCGCTTCAGTTCTCCCGACAATAACTTGTAGAAATTATATTTAAAACGGTTCGCCACTAGCATGGGTTTTCCTCGTTCGCACATTTTTGTAGCCAGTAAACCAATTTGAAATAAGTTTGCGGCAAAGTGTAAAAGAATTGAAAGGATGATCGGAAAATCAAATTTCTAACTGGTCACCGACCCCAATAAAATCCATTGTTAATATTGACTATTACTTGTTACCGAAACTTTTTTCTTACGATATTATTTACTTTATTTTTTTTAGGATGGTACAGAAGACGTACATGACTTAACAAAAGGAAATAGAAACTTTAATCCCTTGATTCTCTTTATTCCTGCTATGTGTGATATGATGGCGACATCCATTATGTACATAGGATTAAATTTAACATTTGTTTCCAGTTTTCAGATGTTTCGAGGATCTGTGATAGTATTTGTAGGATTATTAAGTACTGGATTTTTAGAAAGAATGTTAAATAAATCACAGTGGTCCGGAATATTTTTCGTGATAATTGGACTTGCAATTGTTGGCATTACAGACTTTGTTTATCATGATAACAATGGATCGCATGGCCGTAACGATATTATAACAGGTAATATAATTCACTTATACACTACAGTCCATATTTATGGAATACATTAATAACTATTGGCTTTATTATTAAGTTTAAATGAAGATCATGTTAAAATTACTCCTTGTGCGTGTGTTCAAATAAGTGCATAAAGGTACTTCTTTGCACTTATTTGAATATAAGCCTTTTAAGGTTTACATATTTAATGTACATAATCAAGTAGTTGCCAAGCTATACCTGTCAGAATTTAGTATTTTATTACTACAACTTTATGAACAATCAGTATGTCGTATTTACCGGAAACCCGTACGTAGAAATTTCAACAGTTTTTGCTGTGTCAATAACACATGCTATGTTACGTATTAACAAATATGCATATCATGGTATTTTTCGATCTACAATTAACAAAGAAGTAGCAAAACAATTAACAAAGTACGAAGAATCTTCGTACCGCAGGAAAAATCCATGAAATTGATGAGGATAAACGATTAGATGTTCGGATGCCGTGCTCCGGGAAACGCAAAGAGAAAGTAGGACGTGGTACAGTCTAAATCAGCCTGTTCGACACGGCGCGTCCCAATGGCTCATGGGGTATCTCCATGAGGCACTGTGCCGTCGCGTGGCCTAGGCCCCTTATGGTATGTAAGGGGTGCGCAACTGACCAGGGCATCATAGCTAAGCAATGAATAGTATCAGAAACCCGTTCCAAAAAATTGCTCGCAGATCAAAAGGAGATACCCACCCAAATTGTCTAAAACACACTCATATACCAAATTTTAATGCAACATGTTTACCTCACCCCTTTTCCCTTAAAAATCAACAATGCACCCGTGATAAAGCCTAAAACTCGAAAACAAATCCCTACTATCCCGGTGAAATGCTTCGTACCAATGATATGAGAGATACGAGATTTAGAATATCACAAAAGATCCCTCCGGGATACCTTGCTACCTCCCGGATTATCAAGCCTTGACGCGTTAAGAGCTACTGCCTCGTTTGACGTATAGGACGTTTCGACTCCTGAGAATTATATGGATTCTAAAAAAACAACAAAACCAAGACATCAATCGCCAGAACACGGAAGAGGCAGAAGGCAATCACCAAATGGAAAGAGAGACTAAGAGATCAGGGAAGAACATTTGCTAGACAACTTAGAAGATGGAAACAGGAAAGAAGAGAAAAGAAAATAAATCAAGGCAATCAATACTAGTAGGGGAGCAAGTTCTGGATAATTCTGGGAGGAATGCAAGGAGCAACAACATAGCGAGGCAATAGAAACCACTGCTGCTCGCATCAACGCAATAGCCCTGAATCCAAGAGAATACAAAAAAAAAAGAAAACAGCGAAAACTGTATTAAACACAAAGGGGAAACCCCCAAGGAAGTAATAAACAGGAAACTAATGCTTGGAACTAATGGAACTAATCCTTGAAGCGAAAGGAGGAGTGGAGATTCATTTATAAAAATTTTTAAGGAAACTGGGAAGATGAGGTCTACAAAAAAACCACGTGGGTCGGCCTCCAGGATAAAATAGAAAAGCTAGACTATCTTATTGGCAGAACAAGGAGAAGTATAGATTCATTTATAAAAAAAATTAAGGAAACTGGGAACAGGAGGTCTACCAAAAAACCACGTGGGAACAGGCCGGCCTCCAGGATACAATAGAAAAGCTAGACTGCCTTATTGGCAGAACAAGGAAAAGTATAGATTCATTTATAAAAATTTTTAAGGAAACTGGGAAGAGGAGGTCTACCAAAAAACTACGCGGGAACAGGTCGGCCTCCAGTATACAATAGAAAAGCTAGACTGCCTTATTGTGACAAAATAAGGGAATAAGAAAGGGAAATTAGAAAACGTTATATCGTTTTCTAATTTCCCTCGGAAGAATCATCCGAGATAATAAAGTAGTAGTGAATTTAGTAAAATGTAGTCTTGAAAAACAACACCGTAAAAGTAAAGATGAGGAAAGCCGTGGAATTAGTAGTGCGAAAAGAAGATGCAACATGGGGTTCCTAGTTAGGGGCAAAGAGACAGAGGGAAACAAAATAGGCCTCCTTATAGGAATAGAGGGGTGACTGGGATGTATGGATGTATAAATAATATTAGCACTTCGAGGTAAGGCTGTCGAAATCCTCCAAAACATCCCAGAAGATGCACACAAGAACTATGAGACCATCGTATCGGCTCTAGAATTATAACACGGCTGCCAATATTTAAAGTAAGTATAACAGAGTCAATAAAAGTGCTTTTCCAAGGATCCAACAAATCTGTACAAGTATACGGAGCGGAAATAGAAAAGATGGCACGACTTGCTTGGCCCGAAACCCCGTAAGAATTCCTACACCAATTAACCAAGGCTACCTTTAACTGCAGTTAGAGCAATAGATAAAGGAAAGATAGTGATGATGATATCCAACCTCCGAATGGGAGACGGCACTTAAAGAAGAAGACGACCTTCAACGTGATTGCAAACAACTTGCAAGAGCAGAGGACAGAAAATCGACCGGCACGCCATTCCCACCACAGCAGCGCAGTCCTAGTTTCTCAATATCCACAATAAGACGAAGCAGCGACAGTTTAGATGCCGATGGACTTCTCAATAGTCACCTAGCAGGAAGAAGTAATGAGAATGCCTACGGCTTTTGACGGACTCTGCAAGCGCCAAGAAGAACAAGGGGGCCAGATTCGACAGTTAAAAACCATAGAAGATGGAAGTAACGAAGAAGCTCTAACCAATGAAAATCTCCAGGCTGACCAGAAGAAAGATCCAGATACAAATCTAGTTCGTGAGCAAAAGAAATATCTAGGTCTTAAGCTAGTCCATGAGCAGAAGAATGATCCAGATGTAAAGCTGAGCTGGCGAAAGATTCAGATCTAAAGCTACACCTTGAGCAGAAAAAAATACAGTTCTAAAGATAGCCCGTAAGTAGCTGGACACCGTAGCTAGGCCACAGTGGCAGATTTCCAAATATAGGCAAGCAGTGACGGGCAACTGGTTTCAGTGGGACAACTTGTGTCTACGAGATGATATCATCTTTTGTAAATGGGAGAGTCCAGATGGAACAAGAACAGTGCCCCAAGCTCTTCTCTCAAGATTACTGGACGTGCGTGCAGAACTGCATATTAGCCGCTCCGGGAGATATTTTGGGATCAACAGGACTCTCGTTAGAGTCCGTGAGAGGTATTATTGGGTTAATTGTCGGCAAGATGTGGAAGAATGTTGTAATCGATGTGACCTGTGTGAATCCAAGCAGGTACCCAAAACGAGACTTAAGGGAAAACTCAAAAAAAGCATCATCGGGACTCCATGTTGTAACTTTTGTGTGCACATTTAGGATAAGTGGGGGAAAACTCCAACAATGCATTAGCGAGACTTCATGTTGTTGTAATAAAACAGGCACATTTAGGGTAAGTTAGGTTCGATCGGTATAGTTTTAGTTCCAAAATATGTCGTTGAATTTGACCTACTTTTTTGTTACAACCTGTGTAATATCCGACAGTGGCACTAAATTTCAATACTTACTAGTTTTATGTTATTCTGTTTTATCGTCCAAGCCTCTACTACACATAATACGGTGCTAAAGACTTAACATCTCAGCATTAATGACCTTCCATCAAAAATACACCAAAATATTTACATCTCGATTCCAGAATAATTTTTATTTTTCTTTAGCTTCTGTATGGTTCATTATTTTTATTAGATACGGGACTATTATTTTGATAGATACGCAATACTAAAAACCATGTACTTGATTTTCTTATTATTCCACATATCGAATATTACTTATAATGTTTCTATTTCCAATTTCCCACATTGCGTTATCCAACTTTTCCGGCGGAGGAAAATCTCTTGTTGTTCAATATTACTATCTATAAGGGTGTCTTTTCATTTTCTTATTACAAATGTTGGACAGGATTACAACCAAGGAAGCCTTGTATTATCAGTAATATTAATTTTTTGCACGTTTGCCATAATTATTATTGTGACTGGTACTCTACGAGTATTTAGTATTGGGTGGTTTACATTACATATTTATTTACGGTACATTATTTAGTTGTTTGACAAAAAAATACTAGCAGCTTGCCCATCCGCAGCTGTTGATCACTAACTAAATAAACTAACTAAATAACCCAACTAAATGGGGAGTTCTAAGAAATGTTGACCACATCTGGGTAACCTCAATTAGTTTAGCCTGTAGATCATTCCAATCGCCCGGAGTTTTGGCAAGTAGTCACATCATAAGTTGGGTATTACTGGGCTTCTTACCTCTTAATGTTGTCTCTATGTTACTGTGAAAGCCCCAAATCTAGTGAATATCGATATACACTTTAAATGTCAACATTCTCTAAGTCGCTTGGCGTATGTTCAAAGTGGTTAAATATATTTTCTAACATTCACCAATGAATGTCGACATTCATCATACATTTTTGGTGTATGTTAAAAACATATATTTTTTATCAAGTAAAAATAAAAAATCAATTGGGTATGATTTTGTTCATTGTTGGGTTCATTTTGTGAGAAAAAGGGGATCAACATTCATTTTACAAGTATCAGACATCCTCAGGCAGATCCTGCAGAAAGATATATTAAAGAAGTTGTAAAATATTTAAGGATACTATGCCAGGATACAGGTGACATGGCAGCAACATATCGAACAAATGGAATATTTTTTAAATAATACATAATTTAAATACAGAGGAAGTACCAGAATATTTCATGTTTGGTCATATTAGAAACAGAAGATGGATTAGAGAATATAACCAAGATATGTTAGAACAAGTAATGCAGAGTGTGAACAGGAGAATTAAAAGGAAAGCTGAAAAATATATCAGAAGACAAAATCGAACAATCGAAAAACTGATCACATTTCAAAAAGTAGACAAAGTTTTAATTCGTTCCTTTAGACAAGGAAATTTGAGAGAAAACCGTTCTAAGAAATTACAACCAATGTTTGAAGGTCCATACAGAATCGAAAATCATAATCAACTGAACGGTTATGTGTTGATAGATGCAGATAATAAACTTAGAGGGATATTTCATATTAATGATATTTTCAAATATCATGAAGAGATTGAATAATGTTTTCTACACTTTTAATACTGATAGTAAATAATAACATCACAAACAGTTCACTAAACACTGATACATCTATTTCATTAGACAATCTTGATTTGTTGAGAAAGACAGATGGTAGATTTCATTGTTGTGGGATAATGTATCAATTTGACATGTTTTTGGTTAGGTGTTGAATTTGTCCTTTGTTTGGGTCCTAAAAATCATAATTTTAATTAAAGTTAGGTATAAAATAATTTATCATTTAATTTATAATAATTTATAATATAATTTTAATTTGTGGTTATGTATAGGATTAATTGTGTAAATGTTTTTCTAAAACTGTAAAACTTACCATTCATATTAAAGAAAGTCTTTTGAACGAAAGGGAAGAATGATTTCGTAAATATTATCTATTAACAAACATTATAGAAGCTTATTATATATCTTCTTTGTAAACAAAAGATATTTGCCATTTGACCTGACAATTGACAGTTGATATCGAATCATAGGCGCAGTATAAGGCAATTTTAGATAGAAAATTAAATTATTTAATTATATTAATTACTATATTTACGAATGTGTATGGATAAGAAAATTAATATTTAAAAAAATAATAAATGAATTATTTATTTTAAAATTAATTTTTGGGGCATTGAATTAATAATAGATATATAAGACATTAGCATAATAATATTATGATTGTTAATTAATAAACTTAAATAGTGATTAAAGAAATAATTTATAAGTTATATACTAGAGAATATCATAAAAAAAATATTTATATGAGAGTATTTTTAAAAAATTAGCATATAATAAGTGTAAAAAGTTTTTTTTTAATAATTATGATATATTTAAGTGAGCCATGTGCATAGGCAACCAAGTATACACTGAATAAGGGACAGATGTTAAATGGGCTTATTTATTAGTTTAAGATGTTTAATTTGAATAATTGCGGATGTGAAATGGTGTTATATATTAATTTAAGATGTTTAGTTTATATATAAGTGTATATTCTGATCTGAAAGCCTAAATGTCCATAAAATTCTCGATAGAAGCCTAAAGAATTCTCTAGAAAACGTCAATATAGGGAAGTTGACCCTGTTTGCGGGGCGGACTGTTCGAGAACATTCAAATATTGGGGAAACAAATTCGAACATGATTTCTTTCCCGAACATTCTGGAACGATGAAAAGATATAAATACGATGTAATTTGTAGCAAGCATTTATTAAGTTAGTTACAGTAAGACTGTATAAGAGTAAATTAGTACAGTTACAGTGACAATATGGAGTTAATGCATTAAGACATTAACAGTGGGACAGTATGAAGTTATTTAATTAAGACAGTTAGTTCAAGACAGTATGAGAGTAAATTTGGACAGTAACAGTGAGACAGTTAGAGTATGAGAATAAAGACAGTTAGTTAGACAGTTCATTCGTTAAGCAGTCAATAGTACAAGCAGATAGTATACAGTGTATTTGAAAGTATATTATATGGAGATTAGAAGAATTTAAAATTATAATATCTATATGATGATTGGAGATTATTAAGAAGAAAAAATATGATAATAAGAAGAAGCAAAGAAGAAACAATAAATAAAGAAGAATATTTTGCCCATTTCTAAATGCTATTAAGAAGAAAAATATTTAAAATTGTTGGAAGCTGATAATTAAAACATTGTGGTATATTTGGAAAAAGCAATTTCTCAAGTAAAAGGATAACCGAGGCTGATTAAGAAGATATTGAGTGGTGATTATAACTTTTATTTTGGAAAACAGTTTCATTTAGGCATTCAGTTATAGAAAGGTCCCAAATTTTGTTAATATAATTTAATTATGGTAAGAATTTTAAATTTTAGATAGGTTGTTCTAAATTTATATTGTTTATATTAGATATTATATGTGTGTTTCATAATAGTTAGAATAAACATAATTTAAAAAGTACTTACAAACTAATTCTTTGAGAACCGCAATAAAAACCCTATACTTATATATGTTATTTTAAATTATTCATTGCTCATAATATATATATATATATATATATATATATTATATATATATATATATATATATATACATATATATATATATATATATATATATATATATATATATATATATATATATATATTATGAGCAATGAATAATTTGCACTGTGCGATCACAATTTTTGTTGGGACGGTCGGAAGGTTGATGAGATGAACGATCATATCTTTGTTGGAACGTATTTTTGTTAGTGCGCAATACCGTAACCGTTACGTGACGTAAACGACGTTATATATATATATATATATATATATATATATATATATATTACGGTTACGGTACGGTTACGGTTACGGTTACGGTATTGCGCACTAACAAAAATACGTTCCAACAAAGATATGATCGTTCATCTCATCAACCTTCCGACCGTCCCAACAAAAATTGTGATTGCACAGTGATTGTTTCGTGACGATAATTTCATTAGTCTAGCAAATGTATGTACTGGTTTGGATAACTTGCGCACTAGGATTTTATTCTACTTCTTTAAATTTGTTGGGCCTAGATTAACTTAGATTTTATATTAAAACTGTAAATTTGTTTAGAAAACAGAAGTTAGGTTAATATTTTTGTCAGGTGCTTCTAATAGACTTGTTATTTGTTTATATATTTGTTTTTCTTTATTTATAACTTTATAAATATGACTCACGACGAAGGAATTAGTGATTTTTCTGATTATTATAGTAGTGAGGATGATTTAGAGCTATTAGCCGAACCTAGGATGAAAAACCAGAATTATTTAGATAGATTGTCACCAAATTATGTCAGTTGTCAGAAAATCGTTCCAATGTTAGTCTTCCAAATTATCGTTATCATACGATACAAACGATGAATATGCGCATTAAAAACGGTACAAGTAGTTTCGTGACGGTTTCCGGACCGTACATAAATTGCTTGTTGGAATAAACCTATTGATATAATATAAAAAAACAAAGCAAAGGAAATATATTACGTATAATCTTATATATTGCAACAACAATCTTATACATGCACCAATCGTTTATTTCCTGACATTCGCCGAAACTCATTTGCGTTTGTCGACATACACCGGTGATACTCTGAAACAAAATTCATAAATGTTCGGTCTTTCACAAAGGCATTTGGTGTGTATCGACATTCATCGGTAAATGTCGATATAAGTCAGTGTCGGACTTTCACAGTAACAGATTATAACCCTACATCTGGAACGGGATGTTTAAACTTATGCTATAATTATGGCGATCTAATGTGTTGTTGGTTGCAACTTTCTTGATTCAACTCAGAAGTTACATAATATAACGATAGTATGTTTTATTGATGGTAATAATGCCCAATTTAACTAGTCCGAAAATAATTTTTAACATGATAAACTTAATAATAAGATCATCATCCTTTAACTTAAAAAATTCTCCCTAGAGGACAATGCATGTATCTAATATATACCTAATATTGATTAAATGGGACTGCGAGCTTTAATGAATAATTTTCAGCTGATCGAATACTAATCTTTCAAAACCAAAATATTGTTTTAAATCTAAACATCTTAATGATCCATAATTAAATTTTAGGCGATATGCTAATTATAATTGCACAAATAATTCAAGCCGTTCAAATGGTAGTCGAAGAAAAATTTGTAGCCGGACAAGATATTCCTCCGCTACAAGCGGTCGGATGGGAAGGTAAATGTTTAAATTACACAAATATTTGCATACTTATTATACATACATACATTTGAAATTTTAAATTGTAAGTACAGGTCGACGAAAATTTTTAAAACCGTAAAAGTCAGACCGACGGAGAAGTTTGGTTACGCGACGTTGTCAGATGAATCGTGTTTCAAAGGTTTCTAGGTTTTTTATTTGTTACCTGTTTCACAGTAAAATTGAAAACAAATCTATAATGTGTTTACACTGCTGGTTAACAAATTAGTCCAGTCAGTAAAACAATACATTTATTTTCTTCCCAAAGTTTTTTAATGTTCTTGAGATACTGCAGTCTTAAATGTCTAATGTCGTGTTTCTCAATAAATAGTTTTTGTTGTCTTTCTCTAACGAAACTTAAGCCGGTGAAATTCCTGTTTCATACTTTCTCAATAGTTCAATTCTTCTACAAATTTACAATGAATCTTTTTAACAGTGGGAACCTTGCTTAGTAAGATGAAAATTGTATATCTTTATTTTTAAACATACAATGAACTTACCTGTCAAAGACTTTTCTTGTATCATATATGACTCAATAAGTATTGTATGTCCCTCTGCTTCCTCGTGCGCAAATTTAAAAAAAAATGTGTATAATTTCACGTTATTGTGCACATAGTGTCTTATTTTTGACGGCACTTTTAATATTCATGTTTATTTAAAAAATATTAAATGTATTCTATATAAACAACTATTCGACGATTTTATCTGACAATGTCGTTAAACCACTGATTTCGTGTGCTTGTTAAATGATGTTTACTCTTCGCAAAAACGCGTTCAACTGAAGTCCCCCCTCCTTTATTTGGTACCTCAGTGACCTTCGCGGTTTCTGATATTTCTGTGCACTTGTATTCAGTTTTAAAATATGGAAGTTTTGACATTCGAATGACACATCGTTACATCGTTGTTGAAATTTAAAGAAACCTATTTTATTTAAATAAACTGAAGTTTAATAATATTTAATTTATATTTTCTATTTATTCCTCTTTTTTATGTTTGTGTGAAATTTAAAGTATAATATTCTTGAACTACTTGCTGTTGTCTATTGGCATCACTGTGTGTTTTCGTAGACATCTAATACTTCTTTGAGTCTTTTTCTTGTGAATAATTTATTCCTTTCTTCTCAATGACCAGTCATGCTTAATTCCCAATACCCATTTCGAATTCACAGTGAATCCTTCCGGATCTCACTCACGTAATAATATCAGTGTAAATGAATTCTCGATTTGCTTTTCTTAGATTCTGGTTTACCTTAAACTCGTACTTACATATTACTCTACTCATTGCTATGTACTTATACGTCTTTTATGGAAATCATTGTCTAAATATGCATTACACATAAATACCGGCTTAATATGTTCCATTTATTTTAGGAGTTTTTGGCTTCAGTGTGCTGGCCCTTCTGCAAATACCGTTTTATTTTATCAGGGCTGGTCCTCCTATTACGGTAAATCCTGGAGACCGTTTAGAAGATGCTATTGATGCTTTTATTCAAATTGGTCACAACTGGAGACTTGCTCTTGCAGTTTTAGGTAAGATACTTTTATTACATGGTAGTAAAATCAGTAAAGTAGATAGTGCGATAGTTCTTATTTGCCTAAATAAATCATATAATAGTCTAATCTAATCTCTAAAATCCATCTGTTGTATTTGGAAAAACTATTATGGATTGTTTTATGTTAATTTAATTCTTTGTTTTTATTTTTTTATTCAAATTTTGTTTACAATTGGTACTTTACCGTCAAAGATTACCTTTATATTGTCCTTATTTTTAATGCCAATTATTTCATTTCTCTTTAGTTTATTTTGAACTGTTTCCTTTGGAAGACCCTTCCGATTGCTTCTAAGAGTCCCACAATAAAAAGTTTGGCGATCTAATATATATTTTGCAAGAGGAATGTCCGAATAAAAGTTATGAGCATATAAAGTTCGTTTGACATGTAACAAGCTATTCATTAAGGTCAGCAAAACTTTTTGAGAATAGCTTCTTTTTTTATCTTTTTTTTTTTTATTTTTTTATTTTTTTTTATTTTATCAGCTTTTTTTCACGGTAAACCATTACTTTATAGGTAACTATATATCCGCTGACAGTACATAGTGTATATAATTTAACGCTATATTTATGGCGTTTGTTTTTTATATATCGGCATACCAAAACGACCACTCCATGGTACCATACTTTCATCTATGACTGTGTTCCGTCATTGAGTCATAATCTTCATGAATTTGTTATTAAGTAAGTCTAAAACATGTCTGCTTTTGTATAATTTGTCGTTGCTCTCTAGTAAACCGTAAACCGTAGAATTAATAAAAATATATTCCTATACACATAACTACGGAGATAAACTTATTATTAAAAAAGTCATTTTTGGACCAATTTAATCGAATATTAGGAACATTCACGAATCCCCTGCAGATCACAATACTAGATTTTTTGAATTTCTTCTTTATTAGTCTGAACCCACTTACTGTTAGATTTTTTTGATGCTATGTACACCAATTTCTTGTTCTGCATATATATTGGCTTTTGGTTTCTTAAACAATTAATTCCAAAATTTCATCTATGACAAATAGAAAAAAAAATCCAATGGAGTCGTATTTTCACATTGAATATTTATTTTAGAATCTGTACTAAAATCTAATTTATCTGTTTCCTGAATGTCAGTCCATACATCTTCATTTGCATCACCTAATAAATACAGATACATAATGAGAATCAAATTATAAGATTCACTTTTCTTCTTACCAATTTCTTTTCCCGGTGGAAAAATATCGAACTTATTATTGAAGTTCGGTTCGGTTCGTAATGCCCCTTTGTCCGCTTCTCGTCGATCGATGCTGATAGGTATAATAAAAGGTTGAAGTTGCGGAGTAAAAGTGATGATTTATTGACAGCAACTCGTAATTACACAATATGGTGTTCGTTCGGTAACTACTCAATATTGACTGTGTTCATTTGAACTCAAATCCCCAATTTATAATCTCACACATAATAGATACATAAGCACCTTAGGTCATTGCTTCGTTCATATCACACCACCTAACTTTTGCTTATAATACAATTTAATCTACGCCTTAATTGCGACACTATACTGAAATGTTTCTAGGGAATATCAGGCAGGATTCAGGCCTGGACGTTCAACCATTAACCAGATCTTTACACTACGACAGATCCTCGAAAAAGCGCAAGAGTTTAACATAGATATGTATCATATTTTTGTCGATTTTAAAGCGGCATATGGCAGTGTCTTAATACCAAGTCTTTACAACGCTATGAATGAGTTAGGAATTCCAAAAAAACTCACATGTTTGATAAAAGTGACAATGGCGAAGATGCTATCAGCAGTAAAAATTTAAAACGACTCGTCAACCCCATTTCAAATACATAGGGGGTTAAGGCAGGGAGATGCGCTGGCGTGTCAGCTTTTTAATGTCGCCTTAGAAAAAGTTGTACGAGACGCTAATTTAGATAGCAGGGGAACAATATTTAATAGATCAGTCCAAATTCTAGCATATGCAGACGACGTGGATATTATAACAAGAACTAGGGCGAGAACTGCGGAAATCCTAACCGAGCTAGTAGCAGCAGCAGAACGAAGGGGGTTACATATAAATCAAAATAAAACCAAATTCATGGCGACTAACACAAACACAAGAGCTGGAAATGTTGACACAAATTTAATCATTAATGACCAAAACTTCGAAGCAGTCAATGAGTTCATATATCTAGGGACATCGGTTAACCCCAATAATAATACATCTGAGGAAATAAAAAGGCGAATAATAATTGCAAACAGGTGTTATTATGGTCTATCAAAGTACTTAGCTAACAAACGTCTGTCTCAAAAAACTCGTATAAGGCTGTATAGAACATTGATAGTCCCCGTTCTCACATACGGATCAGAGGCATGGACGCTAACGAAAACAGATGAATCCGCTCTATCCATTTTTGAAAGAAAGGTGCTACGCAAGATATTTGGAGCGGTCTGTGAGAACGAAATATGGAGGCGTAGATATAACTTCGAACTGCAGAATATCTACAAGCATACGTTTGGTGGTAAAGATATTACCACTATAATTAAGCGAAACCGCCTGCAGTGGGCAGGACATGTAGCCCGGGCCCCTGAATCGAACATGATAAAAAAGATTCTAACAGCGCAACCTGTGGGAATGAGACGACGGGGTAGACCAAAGCTGAGGTGGATGGATGGGGGTAACACAAGATGCGGAGAAGATCGGAGTCGGCAACTGGAAAATTCAAGCAAGGGACAGAACAGAATGGCGTAGAAAGCTTGAGAAGTTCGAGGCCCTCTAAGGGCTGTAGCACCAAGATGATGATGATGATGATTAATTGCGACACTTAGGAAGTTCAAGTAGAAAATATTATTATTCGGCAATTTATTTAGTTGTAGGTAAATGAACTAATTATTAAATTATCATACGATATGGTTTTGCAATATATATATAATGCAAACTTATACACGGTGAAGTGATTAAGAGATTAAAATATTAAGAAGTTAAGAATAATGTGAGATTACAAATTAAGGGGTTAATTTGTGATTGAACATATTGGCCACTATATAAAAAACAAACAGACGACCAATAGAAAATATTTAAACACATATAAGTAAAATATAAAATAATAATAACAATAATCATAACACTAATTCACTCGGTTTTTGAATTATTATCTCACCCGAGCAGTGCTACCTATAATTTGATTATTTAGAATTCATGTTTCAGCTAAACTATCTAATTCAAATCTAAGCTCATTAAGTGAAATTGATCTAGGAGGGCTTTCTTTAAAGTACTACCTAAATTTGGTAGTGATGAAGCATGTCTTCGAGGCGCTGGATGAGGTTGGATGTAAGAACCTTGATGCCTTTGTTTTCTGGCTCTCTTGGAGTTTCGAAAATATCTGACTACCCTCTTTTATTTTCATATCTCACTTAAAGAAATTAGTGTAAGTTATTGTAATCTACTGCAAGTAGATTCCTTGGGACCAACAACGAGCGCACAACACCACCTTTTCTTTTTCTAGGTTTGTGTCTCTTTGAAATTTCTTCTCTAATTGCAGAAGTCTCACATATGCTTGCTGTAGTGAGTCCCCCTAATAGGCTTGTACTAAAATTGAAGGGTATTTTAACTTCAAATCTTCCTTCGTTATCCCTTTTTACTGTTCTTTTATAATATCCTTTACACTTTTTTTCTTCTACTGAAAGAATATTGCTTTGATCTACTTCTTCTAACTTCCAGTATTGTTTTCTATCATCCATTTGTCGCCTAGATAGCATGCTGAGCACTTTTATATTAGGGATATTCTCTTTCTCTGCTATCCCTGACATTATCCAACCCAATTTTGTATTTTGGGCCAGCAAACTATTCTTTGTTCGATCTACTCCGTCCAGTAATATCAAACTATATTCTTTGGCTCCTAATAGAATATCTATTGAACCTGTTTCATTAAAATTTGGATCCGCCAGGACTAAGTTCCTATGGTTCCTTTCTTTTATTTGTATCTCTTTCTCCGGTAGATTTTTTGTTATTTTTCTTAGCCCAATTGCGTCGGTCTTCATTTCAAATTCATTTTTGAAATGCGCCTCTAAGTTTAATGTTACGCTCCATTTCGACGTCATTTGGTCTTCATTGCCAATTCCAGATATCTGAGCATGGACAGCTTTTCTTTTTATTCCGAGACTTGTAGCGGCCTGCTCCGTAATGAATGATGACTGCGAGCCTTGGTCAATCAATGCTCTCATCAATTGTGAGCTTCCTTTTGAGTATCTTACTCGTACTAATGCCGTTGCAAGTAGCACTTCTTCATTCTGATGACTTAAACAGCTCACGACATTCTCTTGTCTCCTTGACGATCCGTCGTAACTGTTGTCACCTCTGTTCCCACTAGAATTGGGTCTATTTTGTGGCCTTCTGTTTTCAGAATTCCTTCTGTTGTCATACTGGCACCCACTAGAATTTGGTCTATTCTGTGGCCTTCTGTTTTCAGAATTCCTTCTGTTATCATGCTGACCTTCTGACATGTGTAGTAATGAATGGTGCTGTCCACGACATTCTGCACATCTATGAGAGGAATAACATGGTACTTCCCTTTTGTGTAGTAGGCATCTACCGCACCATTGCTTTTCCTTTTCGATTTTGTTTCTTTCACGTACTTGTTGCCGTAGAAACGTTGTACATTTCAACAGTTTATGTTCTTCATGACACACCACACAGGTTATCTTCTTCTTTACCTGTTGTCTATGATCTGTTCCTTTCCTTTGTGTTTCCAACATCTCCAATGTCTGGAATCTTCTTTGTAGGAATTCCTATGTTGACTTATATGTCGGAATGTCCCTACTGTCTTGAATTGACGTTTTATATAATCTCCTGGTTTCTGTGTCCCACTTTAACATACTTTTCCTTGCTATAAGAGGGCTCCAGGACTCTGTCATTACACCTAGTCCACTAATGGCTTCTAAGCATTCGTGGAGAGTATCATGTAATGATTTCAGCGCCTTTGCTGACGTTTCTTTTG